TTTTTGATAAGGTTTCCAAGAATCCAAGGTACCAGTATCAATTGGTACTATGCAGAAGATCAATAAAATAATTTCTATCATTGTAATTTTACTGAAGTTGATTATATTCTGTGTATTGTAAATATTTTCATTGCCCATTCCTACTGGAAGTGTTCTGAAGCCGATTTTGGTTTAATAAAACAGTATGTAATAATTTTCGGACTTTAAAAGCTGGAATTCTTTGTCTTAGAGACTTCATGCACTCTCACTTCATGCATTAAGTTAGAGATAATAATCGTCGAAAGTGTCGTTGTCGTTGTTCTGCCAATTTTGTGGTGCACACAGATTAAATTAGAACTCATTTTGGACTTCTTATAATGTAAATATAAAATCTATTAACAAACTCGACCTAAACGCCACCCATCGGTTACAGATTTTGTAATTTTCTTTTTGGCACTATGAGATGCGTATGTCTCTGAAAGTAAAGCATAATTGATGTTTTGTAAATAATTGCTATATTCTCTCTATATACCACGGATTGACTTATAATTACTATGTAATGTATACGCTTATAGTATCTAGCGGCACTGGCGTTTCCTAAGTGAAACTGGTCTCAAATTATTTCTATTACCTCACGTATCTCTTTTGTGAATTTCGGAGGTTCACTAACTTTCAAAAGCAATTACATTGAATTACTATGAAATATGAACCGTATCACTGAATTTATATTAAGAATCATTAAAGACCCAGATTTACGGTAAGTATACTAAATATGCGCGTAGTAGCTCGGGCGTTAGTGCTCGCTGTAAATTTCACAGTATGCAAGAAACCCAGGATCAATCGCCGTCGGCAACAATGGAATTCTAATAATACAATTGTAAGTAAAAGAAAACATCTGCATGCCGGAGGTATAAAATTATTCCGAGGATATGTGAAGTCCGCCAACTGGTACTTGAGCAGCGAACTTATTATGTGGTACAGGTGGACTTATTGCTCCACAACCTTCTCAGAATTGAGAGGAAGCCTGTTTCCAGTAGTGGTACATACTCGTATATATGCGGCACTCTACTCTACTTTTATACAGTTTAACAGTACCGATACCTATTCGATCGCCTTGAATTAATCAGCTTAATGAAACTAAAGTAAAAAACTTTGTACACAATTACGTGGTTGTACGTGGTAGTCTTGCTGCAGCTGTATTATGTTGTAGCACGAATGGGTCGGCTCGACCGGGGTAGGACCACGCTCTCACAGAATATCATCGTCAAATAGCAGCTTAATGCTACTGTGTTTCGTACGGTGAGTGTAAAGAATCAGAGACCCTTTTTACTGGAAACGAGGCATTTCATCTTAGTCCTTACTGTTGACAACGCATTTGCACTTTAATTCACAATCGAGGATAAATATAGATGTCTATGGGCCACAGTAATTACCATCAGATAGACCTTGTTCGTTTAACCCTTAACCTATAAAAATACCAATACTTATTCGATCCCCTTGAATAAGCTTAATGACAACTTCATACACAATCACTTATCGAGGACTTTTATTTAATAAAACTTTTGTCACACTTAAGGACACTATGTTGATTTACATAATTTGAGAGACATAATTATTCACATTATCTTGTAACAAAACTTGACCAGACGTCATGGTCTGTTTGACCTTTGTGAGTAATTTTAAAACACATCGGCAAAGAGCAATAAATATTTGGTGTCTTAAAATGCAAAATAGATAGGAGCTTCCTCCCTTTGTCCTTGATTTTAATTATTCTACCCTTGTTGAAAATGCTAAGGATGGTATAATATAGTTTTATGGTCGGCAAAATTAATTTATGAAAGTAATAAATTGGATTGGAAAATTTTGCTTAAGAACAACTATGTTGTTAGTATTTTCTCCCACCTTTTTTAGAATTCAAGCTCATCATTTCATATTTTTGATACTTATATGAAAACCACATTAAACACCATGCAAACCAATTTGTAGGGTTACGATATTAATAAATTTCTATGTGAGTACATGTCACAATCATTTTTTTATAGAACAAGGGTGACCAACAAACATACAGTCCACCTGATGATAAGCGGATGCTATGGGCCCATAGAAATCTTCATTTATCCTCGATTAAGAATCAAAATGTGGATGCGTTGTCACCCCTGAGAACGAAGATGGAATGTCTCGTTCCAGTAAAAAAGGGTTTCCGGTTTTCTACACTCACCATACGAAACACAGTAGCATTATGCTGCTATTCTACGCTGGTATTCTGTGATAGCGTTCTACAACCATTATATAACGGTATCGTGGCTTAACAAGGTATATATAAATATTATGATAATATCTAGACATCCAATTATTCAGATAAACAACCGTTTGAAAACACTTAAAAACTACATCTATAGCTTTATACTTAATGTTTTAAGTATCCAAATATACAACAATAAAACAATCGTTTATTCATCTTGAGTTTGTTACGTAAATGTTTGTATCACAATAATAGAAATGCATTGCAAGGGAAATTCATGACTAAAGTGAGTTTCACCAGCTCCGAGATTAATTCAGCATTGGCAGCATCTATAGGAGTGTAAACAGCGCGTTTCTGTACCTATTTATTTTGAAGTTTAACTTAAAACAGATTACGATCCAGGTAGAGTATTCTTGAGGGTTCTATATATTATTAAGAAAATAATATATTTATAAGAAAATAAAATTTCGTTTGTGACACAACATTTTTTCTAAATTCACTCTTAATAGCGTTTCAAAAGGAGATTCCTCTGATCGGAGGAGAAATGGCGAAAAAAAACTCAACTTTCCTTTTTTTCAATCAAAATCCACACAGTTCTTTAAAGTTCTTTTAACCATTTATATACATATGTACATATGTATATGTAATCTATATTTAACAGCTAATATAGATTTAATATATTTAAAAAAAACATTTAGATCTATAGGCCTACACATTGGGCGCTCTGCGTTGCGTAGTTTTAAGTTTTAATCTAACCGACAATTTATTACATTTTAGCGCATTTAATTTTAGATGTATGCTCGAACTTGTATGTGTGTTTGTGTTATAAAAAGTTTTTAAAACGCACACATTCATTATTTTATATATTACAATAGCATTGCACATAAATATTAAATGGACAACAATAACAGACCTATCGGTAACCAAACCATTTGTGCTGTTCTCGGTCTGACGGGAAATGATTTACTTGCCGTCATACAAGACATACGGCGGCTGCGTTTTGTGGTAGCTTTCAGTACGCTGCTACAAGATACTAGAACAAATATCTCCTATCTCCGCTGAAAACTTGCAACATGGTTCCACACTTTTAAGATTTAGATAAAATAATATCTTCTGGATTTACAAAAAAGCAGAATTAGATAAATGAGAGCCGTTGTAGTTTGGGGTCTAAGAGTAACCCGGGTTCGATCTCGCAGGTACCAATGAAATTGTTAAGTGCAATTTTAAGTGCTGATTTACTACGTGCTCGGTGGTGAAGGAGTACATAGTGAGGAAACCTGCTGGGAAACATTCGGACAGCGTGGCGGACTTTTCCTTGCTCTAAATCCCTCTCACAAATGAGGAGGCCTCTGCAGTGGGACGTATATAGGCTATAAGTTTAACTTTTATAGAATTACATCCGTGCCAACGTATCACACTTTATGTTTTACGTATTTAACATTTGCTTTTTTATCTTTTGTTATGATTTTTTTGTGCTTGTCTAAGAGTGTATTATTTTTTTAAGGTAGTTAGTCTCTAATCTAGGTCTCTAATCTAAAGCCCTATATTAGCTAAATAGTTAATACTGGAGGTACTCTGTCTCTGGCGTCGTCATTGTGGTTTCCACTATGTGGTTTAAACAACGTTTGTGCTAAGTAGACGCCATTTTAGTTCCTAAATTATTTTGTCTGTGTTGTGTTAATTTTATTTACATTTGGAACTAAATAAGAGATTATTATTATTATGTTCCAAATCCTTCCAAATTTTTGGCTAGGATCCGATGGCGCCCGGTTATATAATAAGCTTAGGTAAGGACGTGAATCCAACACGCAAAGGTCTTTTAATGAGTTTTAGATTCTTCTCTGTATATAAACAAAAATATGTCTGAAGAAGAGTCTGAGATTATCCACAAACTAATGATAACAAACTGAAAACGTAACTAAAAATTTTGGGTTAGAATGCTAAGTGGAAGAGAATACTGGACTGATGAGACCCGCTTTAACAGCTCAATATCTACTATATTATCTCAATATCTTCTATTCCGGGATACCTGCCGTTATCGTGTTACAATAATGAGTCAGTTAGTGACTCGCCGCTTACTAAATGAGTACCTCACACAGCAGTTTTAACTACAAATGCAAATGGCCTACAAGCTGTTCCGCGGGATGATTTATTTTACAATAATGTATTATTATTATTGTATGGTATTTAATACGAGCGATCCATTATGGTTGCTTACCGATGAATTCCGGATCTCGATCGATCTCGATTTTTAGCTTAAAATTTCCTATTTTTACTAAGATTTTGAAGACGCATTACTATACAAAATGCTGGACATGGGCTTACGATATTGTAGATAGGATTTACTAAACTCGGCACGTTTAGCGGTTGGTTGATGATCACAACTTCTAAGTATCCTAGATTAGAAAGACTTGCGCCTTTGACGTTGCTATGCGTTGTCGACTTGACCATTTTACATCAGGTATCACGAAAAAGTTGAGGAAATAAACCAAGAGATGGGCAACAGCATCATCCTGATAACAACTAGAAAAAAAAACTGCGGTTGAAAATTCGCCCGCCATGCGTGGCCACTATGGCAAGTATCCCCTTATGAGAGAGACCTATGTCCAACAGTGGATTTTGATAGGCTGTTATGGTGATGAATGATAAAATTAACTCTAAAATTAACATAAAACATGAAAATATTATTAAGTTTTTACATTCAATAGTACATTGTTTTAGTTAATCACGGTCTCTTTATTGTATTAATATATAATTTAAGCTATTTATTATTTTACAGTGTGTCGACGGCTACCCATATACGAGTAGATGTCCTCCAGGACTCTATTTCGACGATATTAGCAAGTTTTGTACATTTCAAGCCGAGGCACGATGCGGTCCCATTCCTACAAGTGAGTACGATTCTAAGTCTATTAATTGAACGTCTCCAACACACGTTCTGTTCACTGAAGTAAGTAAAATCGGATTATGTGTAGGTATCCATATGGATAGGGAACCGAGAACGTTGTGGGAATTCCTAAACGCATTAAAGATTCATTCTCGGAATACTATATTGTTGGAACAATGGTTTATTGTGTTTATCGTTTTCACTAATAATTGTATTGTACTTGAAACTTGTCTCTTTTTGTTTTATATATAATTTGTTTTACCTTCGTTTAAAATATGTTGCGGTTATTTGTTAAATTTTAATGCCTTAGCATAATTATATTTCTTCGACGCACTTTCGCTTCGACGAATACATTTACTCGTAAATGTGAAACAAAGGAAGCTTCCGAATGTAGAGTCAATGACTTGGGCCTCATATATTATTCAATATACAATTTTCTTTTAGATAAATATTATTTGTCGAAAGGTTTACAATTAGTTAAAATATTTTTTTTAATTACTTTCTTAGCTTTATAATTATTTTCTTATAAATCCTATTTTTAACTGCAACATACTTTTTGACGAAATTTTCAGACTTCATTTAAATATTTTTAATTACTTTTTTTACATTTATGATTAATTTCTAAATCCTTCTAATTAAGTATAATTTCGTGTTGCAGCACCAGCTCCAATAACAGAAACGCCTTTAGACCTAGCTACTAAATGTGATCAAGCAGAATGTCAGCTACCTTACTGTTTTTGTTCTAAAGATGGTACCTTAATTCCGGGGGGTTTAGACCCTGATAGTGTAAGTAAAGTTCATGTTTATAACAATTTACTATATTATAAAAAACAGACTCTTATTTAATTGCAGAAGGGCACTATTTTGAATACATTAACGTTTCGCATGTTTCATTCAAATTTTCTAAAGTCATTAAGTAATGCCACAGAATACTAAATAGTTCAAGGTAGTAAAGCTTTGTTGGTCGTACGACCCATGTTTAATAATAAAATTATTATTTGTTTACTTTCTACTAATTGTATTGGATTAACAAAAATTGTTTTGTTTACAGACACCTCAAATGATTATGTTGACTTTCGACGGCGCTGTTAATTTGAATAACTTTGAAACGTACAAAAAAGTGTTCAGCAAAAACTTACTTAATCCAAACGGTTGTCCGATCCGAGGAACTTTCTTCCTTTCACACGAATACAGGTAATGCTATAAATATTTCATCTGTCTCGTGTTTACATATTTATGTTTCCTATGTGCGAGGCTTTTTCATAATGTATAAATATATGAAAATACCTCGCATATAAATAAAAGAGAATTTGTTTAATGTTCGAGAATTCGAATATGTAAGTACCTAAGTAAAGTAAGCCAGCCAAATACGAGTCAAACGCGCGCATGATGGGTTCCATCGTAAAACACGTTTCTAGTAAGGGTTTTAATTAGAGATGAAACGGATATCCGGTAACTATCCGGTATCCAGCCTATCCGGCCCAAAGTACTATCTGGCCGGATACCGGATAAATAAATACATAATATCAAATTTAGTTAAGTACCTACTTTATTTATGTCACTTAATAAATAGAATCAGTAATCACAAAATTTTCATTTTAAATCTTATAAATTTAGTACTGGTACTGCACTAAGGACAAATTATGGAGAATAAATACTAGTTTCTCTGCATTGAAAGGTAACAAGCGGTTTCGCCTGTCTTCATAATAAACAAGGCCAGCTTCAGAAAAAAGTCTTTCGCTGTACACACTGCTGCAGGGTGCTGAAAGATAGATTTTGGCAAACTTCGATAAATTAGGATATTGTGTAGCATTAGCTTCCCACCAAATATAAGGGTCACGATCGCGAGCAATTCGCACTGACTTTAGATACAAATCAATTTCACGTGAAATTGCGTTTTTTTCTTCATGGTGAGACTGGCTAGTATTATTTTCATTTCCTACTTCATTGAAGCAATCCCAGAACGTGTAATGAGTTTCGCGATTTACAGCTGACTCTGTCTCCTCTCCTCTACTTTTTTAGCCAGTGTTGACGATGAACTGGAGGACTCTTCGCCAGACATTTTTAACCCTTTCGCTGTCCCGTGCACTACATATAGGTCACTGCTATTGTCTTACTATTGTGTCTGAAAACCGGACAGTGAAAGTGTTAAATACTCCAGTAGAATTTCCTGGCAAGCTCTTTCAGCTTCAAACACGTGAAATTTTAACATTGCATAGTAAACAAACAGCAAGCTTAGGATCATCACTGTCTATATCAAAATGTTCCCATAAAAACGATCTTTTCTTTATCGATGTCATTTTGTCGTCAAATCTGTTAAAAATCATAGAAATCAAATAACGAAGCACGTATTTTAATAACCTGAAACGATCGTGTTTGCAATCTATAGAAGTCAATGAAACAATTGCTAACTTCGCTCATGAACGAAAAGACCCGAAGTCGCCCGAGTACCGCGTGCACACGATCACCACCACTAGCGCCACCTACGCAACTTCGCTGCTTGCGATGCACTAAATGACAATGTCCGGCTATCCGACGATAAGACTGGTAAATCCGGTAATATCCGGTATCCGGCCAAACATCTATCCGTTTCATCTCCAGTTTTAATGCTTAATTTATTTTTATTATTTATTGTTATAACGGCATCATTTTATACGTGGTAGAGCCATGCTGCAGCTATATTAGTAGTCTACTTGTAGCACGAATGGTTCGGCTCGACCAGGGAAGGACCACGTTCTCACAGAATACCAGCGTCAAATAGCAGCATAACACTGCTGTGTTTCGTATGGTGAGTGTAGAGAACCAGAGACCCTTTTTACTGCAAAAGAGGCATTCCATATTAGTCCTCACGGGTGACAACGCATCTGCATTTTGATTCGCAAACGAGGATAATGTAGATGTCTATGGGCCATAGCAACCACTTGCCATCGGATGGACTGTGTGCTCGTTTGTCACCCTATCCTATAAAAAAACAAACAACATTAGAAATACACATTCTGTGAAAATTTCAACTGTCTACCTATTACGGATCATGAGATAGAGCCCGCTGACAGGGTGCCGTTGGTTACGCTTTGGCTACGGAAGTCTAAAAATTAAGAAGCGCATAAAATAATGTACATCTATTACTTAAGTTACATTAATGTCTTTTTTCAAAGATACTTCTATCTAACTTACTACTAACTAGATCATAACGAACTATTCTGAAAACTCACAAACGAAAACGAACAATTTTAAAAAGTTGCTATACGTTTGAAGAACTTGTTTTTAACAGTGGTAGAGCCACGCGGCAGCTTTTGCTGTCGCACGGATGGGCCGGCTCGAACCGGGGTAGTACCACGACCTCACAGAAAACCAGCGTGAAGTAGAGATTTACCTCTGCGTTTCGCTTGGTAAATGCAGGTGGCCGGAGGCCATTTTTACTGGAAATGAGGCATTCCATCTTAGTCCTCACGGGTGACAACGCATCTACATTTTGATTTGTAATAGAGGATAGATGTAGATGTCTATGGGCCGCAGCAACCACTTACCATCAGGTGGACTGTGTGCTCGTTTGCCACCCTTATTCTATAAAAAAAAAAAACTTGTTTAAATTCTAATAGAAAACATTGTGTCAATTTCTGTAAACACGGACAAATCTAAGGAAACAGAGCTAACACTTAATAGTTGTAGCGAATACTTGTCGCTTCTAAATACTAAATTAATGCAAAACTACTTGAAATTCTATACGTTTGCGTACGAGTGTCCGTGTACCATAAACAGATGCTCAGGGTCAATACCGAGGAATGTTTCGCGCACTTGTAACGTAGTCATTTCGATAGTGCATTCGTGTTTGGGTAATCAAAAATTAAAATAAACTTTCTAGAATAAAATTTCAAATCGTAGTGTACAAAACACGACATAATCGATTTACAAAATACCTACTACAAAATGGAATATTTTGTTTTTAAAAAGAATAATATAGGTATTAAATTATCTGGTAAATACGAATATTGTTACGTAAAAGTTGTATATATAATCTTTTTTAAATGGGGAAATGCCTACGCATAACCGCCTCGCGGGGGCAATGACGGGTTGCATCGGACTAACCCCATGGTGTTCCATCTTCCTTGTGCATTAATACCTAAAAACCCGCTTGAAAGAACATATATATAACTGATGTGAAACAACAAAGCTCCGGGAAGTAAAAGCTCCGGTTAAATCAGATTTGCTAGACAAATTCTCGCAAAAGAACACTGATTCCCACCAAGGATGATTCCGAGGCTATTGAAATTAAAAAAAAAACATCCTAATTTCAAAGAAGATGACTGGGTGCTACCATATGTTCAGGATCCTATTATTAATAGAATTAAATCTAAACCTAAGCGTACTATTGCACGACTTTAAGATACTGTAAGCTCGTTCTGCGTAGATTGGACCAAAAATTTATAATAAAAGTTGAACCTTCTTCAACCTAAACCTTTAAATCTAATGAATTTTTTGTATGTTTGAGTGGGTTCCTGGATACTTTAGATTTACAATTAGACGCGGTAGGAAGCGCTGTTGTCGAGATCCAGAAATAACCCTTGCGAAGTCGGGGCGGATCATCATCATCATTGATCATTACAGCCTTTCATAAGTCCACTGCTGAACATAGGCCTCCCCCAAGGAATGCCACAAAGCACGGTCCTGAGCCACCTGCATCCATCGATCGTTATCCATCGATCGGGGCGGATCGTTAGTTTTAAATAAAAAAGGGAATGAGACAACTAATCATAAGATTCCTTTAGCTGATAGTAGCACCAACAACAGTCCTATTCTCTGTAGAAATTTGGATTTATTTTTTTATTGCCTAGGATCACCGTTTTAGATCGATTTGTGGTGTATATATTATTGAACATATATATTACAATATACAATATTACATCTGGGTCTTAATGGATTAATGGAAAACAAATAATGGATTGTCTAATGCCGCTTCCATACAGAAATGTATACTTTTGATATACATATATGACGTAAAAATCTTAATTTTATATTATGTAGAAGTTTCGATGTATTATTAAGACTTTGTGTAGCGATCAGAGCTAAGAGAGTATACTTACTTTCTTAATAAAACACTTTTTAATATGATGCATGGGAGGCCTCTATTAAGCCTTGTATATAAAGGATGTCAGATGGATGGAAATCAGAGGCACTTAGGTACACGAAATTACTTACAAGAAAGTGTGAGACCCCTGAAATATACAAATCGTTCAGACGCTTCGTTACTGCAGTGAGTACTTAACATTTCGGCCCGCGGGATTCGATTTCCACCAGAATAAGTATTTGCGTTGCCTAAAAATATTTCCCCAAGTTTGAATGTCAATTTAGGTATATGTAAACCCTTTTCAAAATGTCGTAGAATTCATAATTAGAGGAGTTGGGTTAATCTGTCTGACCAGTTCCACAATAATTAATAAATTTGTTATTTTCAATTTTTCAGTAATTACGCTATGGTTCAAGCTCTAGCTCACGATGGACACGAAGTAAGTTTTTTGTTAGCTTATAATTAATAATAATTAACTAACATGATTGAAATATATTTTGCAATACTACATTTAAATTTGAAATAATCTTTCGTGTAATTTATACTATTATTTATTATGTGGTGAAACGTAATTTCATTTTCGTTTATTGTTAGATTGCTACTGGAACAATTTCTCAGCAACAAGGTCTACAAGATAAGGGCTATGAGGAATGGGTTGGTGAAATGATAGGTATGAGGGAAATACTCAAGAAATTCGCAAATGTATCTCGCACTGAAATTGTCGGAGCCAGAGCACCCTTCCTCAAGCCTGGCAGAAACACGCAGTTTAAGGTGAGTTAATTGCAAAATACTGGTTTTACCCATCATGGTAATTAGGTCTCTAACATGTATAATTTAAATACAGTTTCACATTTTTGATTCTCGACCTCGTTTTCCTTAAGTTGAATAAAATATACTCTTAAAAGATCGTTACGTGTTCAAATTTATTATTACACATTATAAAGCCATCCTATTTTTATAATTATATCTCACGAATGCAATAAATAACTTTGAAAATCATGATGATAGTAAAGTGAGTTATATTGTTATTAGACACCATAAAATACCAATTTTTTTAATTATAATTTTTCAATTATAACATAAAAACCTGACCGAGTATAAAAGTGAAATAATTGAACTATTTTATTCATACAACTGTAATTATAAATTTGTTTATATTGTATTTTATTCTATGAATAACTTTTGTCTGATGATTGATCTATCAACTCTTAGCTTGATACTAATTCGTAAGAAAAAGAAACTATTGAATATTCAGAAGTGTATCGTTTAACGTTTTCTGCGTATTCAATCATGATTTAATATTCACATATCTTCACTCAAAGGTTTTTAAAAAAAATATTATTAGAGTGACAAATACAACAATCCAGCTAATAGTAAGTAGCTATTGCTGTCATGGTAACCTGCAACCAAATTCAAATTAAGAAAAAAAGCCCCAGATACGTTGTCGCCCCAGCGCAGCGGACATTTTTAACTACAGTTAGCGTTACAGCCTATTAAAATCCACTTTTGAACATAGGCCGCCCTGCCTGACAAGCGGGTTTGCAACCACAGATTTGGAAAGGGTTTCATTATTCAGCTGTTATCAGGAAGATGATATTGCCCATTTACTGGTTCAATTTCCCCTCTGTGGCCTCTTACAATACCCACGGAATGATATGAGAACTTAGAGGAGGGCTGAACTAGCGGTTGAACATATGTGTGCTGTAACTCTAATAATACAGTAAATTATTAAATTCATGTACTACAATGAATAATGTGAAAACACGATTCAATATACGAGCGCAAACATGAAACTAAACAAGCACTAAAATATGACACACAATATTGTAATATTCATTTTACTCTGATGTTAAAAAGAATGGTTGATTATATAGATAAGATCAGACGAAAATATTTTGGTTTGTTTTGCGGTATTTAATAATATCATAAGTAAATTTTTGGGCATGCATGTATGTATTGGCAGTTTAAACATTGTGTTTCCATTATGAAATATGCGAACAGATGCAACGTAAACAGCTGCAAATGTTCTACGATAATTGCTTCCGGCGTAGCCCAAATTATTTTGGAAATTATAACGTTCATTTCGATATCAGCATGATCCCATTTATCTATTCAATTAGTTTATTAGTTAAAATGTAATTAGTCAATTAGCTGATAACCTTGACCACTGATAAACATTTTATATTTAAAATAATTTTTAATTTTTAATTAAAATTTTAGACCATTTTTTACTGAAAACCGGGCATTCTGCCATTTTAGTACTCAAGGATTACAACGCATCTGCATTGATTCTTAATCGAGAATAGTGGTAGATGTTTATTTTCGAGTATAGTATTTCGACCATTAAGTGGAATGTGTGCTCGTTTGTCACCCTTATTCTATAAATGAAAAAAAAATTAGATTAAATACAAAAATGCAAATAAAATAGTAACCAAATAAATCAAACCACAAAAGATCTAATAAAGTATACCAATGAATATCTATTTACAGTATGTTATAAAAAAACATAATATAACAAATGACGTGACTTACTTACGTCTGTCAGCCATAGGGGTAGGCAGAGACCACGGACTTCCATTTAGCACGATCCTAACACACCTCTCTCGACATTATCACGTTTATATGCATACATGCTCATCCATTAGGGGGTAATAATAATAATAATGTCCTCCAGACAGAGTTTCGATCACAGCGGCCAGTCTAAACAGAGACTAGCCATCTGTCCAGGACAGGATTATAGTGCACGAACCTAAATAGAGTGGACAAACACAAGTGCATTCTCTATTCCCCCACACTCATAGTTCGATGGGACGGTTATCCGACACGACCGTAGACAGATCAGGCGCGTGATCTCGCCTGATCTCTCTCCGCCCACGGCTTTTTGTGCTTTCCTAGGCACGAGGGTTGAACACTGTTAACTTCCTGATTCCGGGGTGCTACTGAGACTTTTAGACAGAAAAACGCAATAACTAATTTTAGCTCGACCCGGGATCCAACTCAGGACCTCATGATTAGCAAGCGCGTGCACGACATCTAGACCTACGAGGCAGTTGGTTAGGGGTACTCTTAACTATTGAATATTTAGAAGTGTAACGTTGGCCCCTATTCAATATATTGCCAAGTTGATTGATAAACTTCCATCTGAGTTCAGCGATCAACCCACACAAGTCCAGTTTTTTGCCATAAAGCATTAAAGCGTGTTAATTGATTAAGTAACTTAGGTAATTAGGTACTTAATAGATGCTTGGAAAATTTAATTATAATGTTACTTACTGTACTAAGCTTTGGGTGTAGGTTTAAAGGTTTTAAAATAAGAATGCAACTATGTAAATAATACAGAAGAAATAAAATATTTTGTTAAGCTAGGTCAGTGTGCCTTACTATATTTGTCTGCATCACCACTTATCATCAGGTGGTATAGTAGTCAAACAATGGCTTATAATGGTGAAAAAATCGTGACGAAGTTTTGAATAGTAGCGCCATGCTGCAGCTGTAATTTTTTTATAGAATAAGGGTGACAAAGGAGCATACAGTTCACCTGATGGTAAGTGAATGCTGTGGTACATAGACATCTACATTTATCCTCAATCAAAAATCAAAATTCAGATGCGTTATCACCCCTGAGCACTGCGATGGAATGTCTCGTTGCCAGTAAAAATGGTCTCCGGTTCTCTACACTCACCATACGAAACACAGCAGCATTAAGTTGCTATTTTACGTTGGTAATGTATGATCCTACCCCGTATGAGCCCATTCGTGCTACGACCACAATATAGCTGCAGCATGGCTTTACCACGTAGAAATAGTAATAGTAAGTATTAATTGCATAGTAAAAAGAGGCATTCCATCTTAGTCCTCACGGCAGAGACCGCAATTGCATTTTGATTTGCAAATGAAGATAGATGTAGATATATATAGGCCACAGCAAACACTTATCATCAGGTGGACTGTGTGCCCTTGTCACCTTTATCCTATAAAAAATTAAAGTAATAAAATGCAGCAGCCGTCCAATTATATTCATTTCACATCTTTATAAGTGACTTCTACTAATTTTAATACAAGAAATTCCAGCTCAAACTAAAGTATTATTCATCTTTTTTGCGATTATCGCACACAATAATATCCAAAAACGGAACACCTGGATGTTTAAATGACATTTTAATAATTCATTCCGATAATATTAAAATACCCCAGAAATTATAATCTCCTTATATATAAAAATTACGTGTCACGTTGTTTGTCCGTCCGTTGTATGAAATTTTGCACACTGTGTGCATTTTTATCCAACTTGAGAGATAGGATAGTTTTTATCTCGATAAATGACCCCCAAAACTTTTTATTGCGAATTTAAGGATTTCTATAGGAAGGGTCGTCGGAAAGGGCAGAACAACGTCTGCCTGGTCAGCTAGTATTATATAAAGATCCTTCACTTTGTATTTTGTATTGTAGATATTGGTGTTTTGGTAAAAAAGCAACAAGTAGTCTTGAAAGTCCCCTCTTGATGATTTATGAGCGATCGAATGAAATGAAAATAGGTGCAAGCTAAAGGCCAAAACATAATGCGTTCACGCTTCCCAGTCCTTTACTTTATACCTTTATACCTTTTTTTAGTACAATTTTTGTTCAGTACTGAGTGGCTAAAAACTTGTGTGGTCTGATTTCATGAAAGAATACACACGCCCTTTTTATTTTTCGACTTTGACCGTTTTGTTCAGTTCCTTAATCTCAAACAGAATTAATAATTTTGTACAGCGGTTAAGTTAGATAATCTTCAAATCGCATTATTATATCACCTTATTCGGTTTAAGCTGTGTTTCGCACTATTAGTGAAGCTTGTTTATTATTAAACATTTCCAAAAGTTGGTGTAGTAAACATCGATTTTTCATAATCGGTGATCGGTCTAATCAAATCAAAAAATGGTTTTGTTGTTTTAATACTACTGTTGTAAAAACTAGATAAACGAATTTTAATATGATTGTTTTAGTTTTTTTTCATATTAAATATTTACCACAAAATCGTTCCATTGTAAATAAAAGAACTCCCGTTGCATTTAATCTATTAAAGCTGATGACAGAGTTCTTTTTTTGTCTAAGTTTGACGTAGAAGAGTCACGCTGTATTATGGTTGCAGCATGAATGAATGGAAATGACGTATGCTGCCATTTATTTATGTTGATGATGTTAAGTACAAAATTAACCCTTTCGCTGGCCCGTGCACTACATATAGGTCATTGTTATTGTCTTACTATTATGTCTGAAATCCGGACAGTGAAAGTGTTACTCTTTCAGGTGTTGGAAGACTTTGGATACATTTACGATAGTTCAGTAGGTGTACCCCCACTCACGGTACCAGTTTGGCCGTATACTTTGGATTACAAGATACCCCATGAGTGCAAGTCAGGCACATGCCCTACAAAATCTTTCCCAGGTAAGTTATCGTTTATATGCTATTAGTACATAGTCGCGGCGTACGAGAAATTATCAGCTCACTTCGTGGTGTTTGAAAGAGTTGACTATGGGAAACATTAAGAAGATCTTGTGGTTGCCAATATATGGCAGTATAAAAATCCAAATATGCGTGACGAATTAACCTCTCAGGCCCCGACATTTTATTTTACCAACTTAGTCAGACCTGTGGTCAAGCCAAAGAGTATAGTAGGTCAGGCAAAGGACAATATTTTTTTGAAATGAAGTAAATATAAATTAGAGTCATTGCTATGTTCTTATTAAAAAAAAATCAACAATTAAAATATCGATTTATTATAATTTATTATAAAGGTCAAGGGTTTATTATAAAGGTCAAGTGAGCGCTAGAAAAATGACGATTGTCGATAAATAAAATCTTTTGAGAAATTATCAATTACCGTATAGTGGCGGTGTATAAATATCTATATCATTCCGTGAGTGTCGTAAGAGGCGACTAGACTTGGGGAAATGTGTTATTTTTAACTAACTGTGACCGTCGTGCCGGTTACAAAAAAGGTCACAGTGAAAATTATTGTCACGTTGATAATGTTGGATAACTACTTGGAACATTAGAACGACTTACAACGTGACTTTATATAAGCATTTTAGATTTAGTTTTAAGTTTTATTTCAGTAGTCGATTTTTTACCTTCCTTACCTAAGCCTAAGCTACGTGGCTATGTTATAAGTACCATTCCAATTAATATTTTTGAAATATACGAATTTCACCTAACCTAGTCGATCAGTCGGTGTACCGTTCCAGTACATGGTACACGTACCTTCTTACACACTAACAAGGAACGCGTAGTTCCTTTTGTTTGGTTATATCAGTGACAGGAGTAACGTAGAGAATAGTATGGTGGTGGCGCGAAATTACATCGTTATTTTGGAACGTAGTTAGTTGTCGCTTTGAGGATGATCACGGTGAATTTTTCATCGTGATGTGATGTTATTTATCACTCATGTCCAGAGGCGACAGAGGTAAAAAAATCAGGAGACGGGCAGTAGCGTTTTCCAAATAATAAATAAAAAAAGAACTGCGGATGCCAAAGCGCTTGCCAAGCGTGGGAGCTATGACAAATATAATCCCTATGAGGCAATATATGGGGAGGCCTAAGTTCTCGTCATTTGAAGTACATTCTCTTAATTTAGAGAAGCGCAATTTAGTAACGAAACTAATTCTAATAAAATTATAAGAATTATAGTTGTATAATTCTTATAAATATAATTTAAAAAAGAATTGTTCGGAGCACTCTAATCCATTGTTCTTAGTAAACGTAGTGATTATATACTCTTTGGTTCTGAGGGGTCCCTTCAAAACATTACTATACTTTTTGGCGGGGTCTACAAATTTGTCACGGGGGAGACCGATGAGACCAGCAGGACTTGATATATTAAACACAAAAACAAGCCACTTGAAGCAGCGTCAAAGTTGTAAAACGTCAGGTACTGCTATTATCAAGGCATCTGCTGTGTGCGGCAATAATGGTAGCACCACATTTTTAGACGTAGGGTGACAAACGGGCCCTTAGTCCACCTGATGGTAAGTGGATGCTATAGCCAATACATCTACACCTATCTTCGATTAAGAATCAAAATACAGATGCATTGTCACCCTTGAGGACTCGGATGGAATGCCTTGTTACCAGTAAAAAAGTCTCGTTTTTAGTAGAAAGAATTATGAAGATATCATTAATTAATTTATATGGTCAATCACTAGATGGATTATAACTCCAATACCTAGACCGGCGACGTTAAGCAACGGCCACTGTGCGAAACGTTGGGTATTGCGATCGTCCATCCGCGTACCAAGCGTGGCGATTATGGCAAATCCACCCCACAAAAGGAGTAATCCATGTCCAGAAATTTTACAGGCAGAAGGAAAAGAAGAATCTTTTAATAATAATATATTATACAATAATTGAGTCATTTATTATATTATACAATGTCATTATTGAAATAGATCTATAATATAAAAATGTTTACTGTAATTTTTATTTCGTCGTTTACCATTGCGAATTACTATTGGAATAGAAATGATATTACAATTCAGTAATGTTTGATAGTAGCTAAAGGAAATTTCCAAATAAGCTATTAGAAGATTACTTCGATGTTATACGACAAATAATTCAAGATCCTTGGGGATCTATAAATTCCAGCAGTGACGATATCGGTAAATAAGTTAATAAAGTTGTTATCTGACTAGGTCTGTGGGAGGTACCCTTCAACGCGCATTATATTGACTCCTTTGAGGGTGGACACTGCCCCTATTTGGATCAATGCGTATTATTCAACTACGACGCGGATGAGGTAATTGATTAAAGTTATTTCGTACTATCATAATATAATGTGTTGTAATTGAAAGTAATTTATTACTTTAGTTTAAATATATAATATTATTAACTGGCAATTGTATTTTAAATATTATTTCTTAATTATATATAATATTAAACTGGAACGAGAGAGTCCTATGTTCAGCAAAAGAATTGTGGTGGCCTGTAATGATGATGATGATGAACATTTAAGCCGGATCCACATTTAATCATCTTGGTGTATCTCCGTCGCGTGGCGAAAACGTGTATCATGATCTCTAGTTTGGACACATAATATTTTTTTTTATAGGATGAGGGTGACAAAAGAGTACGCAGTCCACCTGATGGTAAGTGGTTACTGTGGCCCATAGACATCTACATCTATCTTCGATTAAAAATCAAAATGCAGATGCGTTGTCACCCGTGAGGACTAAGATGGAATGGCTCTTTTCCAGTAAAAAGGGTCTCCGGTTCTCTACACTCACCATACGAAACACAGCAGCGTTAAGCTGCTATTTTACGCTGGTATTCTGTGAGAGCGTGGTCCTTCCCCGGTCGAGCCGACCCATTCGTGCTACAACTATAATATAGTTGCAGCATGGCTCTACCACGTAAAAAAATGTAATAATATGCTATAAGCCGTTATAATACCGTATCTGATACTTATCGTGATCGGCAGTATGGACTTTTTTTTGATAATGTTTATCAAGCCGAGAACTTTCAATTGGAAGTCCGGATTTTAATATTTGGGATTTGATTAGATTTCCATAGATATATCCATATAGTCCAATTCTTTTGTTTTTGAAAGAACAACTGCGACTACACGTTTATATGTTAATGAAATTGTTCATCTTGTCATATTTAAATAAAAATCCATCTAACAATTCACGTTTTTCTACAAAAAGAATCTTGTTAATCTTACTACAGTTTAATCATATTTCTCCAACATTATAAATATACAGGTATTGGAATGGTTGCAAGAGGATTTCAACAGGTATTATGAGCAAAACCGAGCTCCGTACATGATGCCGTTCCACACAAACTGGTTCCAAACTAAAGCGCTCGAGCAAGGCCTTCACAAGTTTCTCCGTTGGGCGGCTAATTTGTAAGTCAATGAGTTTTCGCACCACTATTAAGTTACATTTAAGATAAAGTATAAAGGGAGTTAGATCTTCTAAATAATGACTAGAACTTAACGCGGAATGAATTTTATTTCATAGACCTCTCAAAAGTAATTAGATAATTTTCCAAATAAATTTCGTTTGTTGGAAATAATTGAGATGAAGTCTTTGCAAATACGTATAAAACGGCGTATCAAGGATTGATGACAATATAATAATTTAATAACATTAGCCTGGTATCTTGATCAGGTGCACCAGGATAAAATAAAATAATTATCATGAAAATTTCATGTTATTTTACCGATTTTATTGTTTTGATAAAAACAAAGAACGAAAAAAAAGATATTTCAACATAGGTATATAATATATATATATATATATATATATATATATATATATATATATATATATATATATATATATATATATATATATATATATATATATATATATTATAACAAAATAGGTAAATATTTATAAAAAAAATATTTTCTAAAAAGTGTTCTCTTTTATTTTAGGAATGACGTGTGGATTGTAACAGTGACACAAGCTTTGACCTGGATCACTGAACCGAAACCTTTAAACGCACTTAATAATTACGAGGCTTGGAAATGCGATAAAAAGGATCTGCCACCAGCACCTTGTAATTTACCTAACAAGTGCGCCCTTTCCTTTAAAAATCCTGACACTAATTTCTCTGACACAAGATATATGGAGACTTGCAGCGAGTGCCCTCATAAGTAAGTGCCTTACCATTATATGATAGTTATATCACAGTCCCCGATTTTCATCATCCACCATACGAAACAAAAATTGATATTTTACGTTGGTATTTTATACGAGCAGTATGTTCTCGACATTTTCTGGTTGATAGTGCGGCGTTGAAGCCATGATATATCACCAAGTAGTGTGAATTCGTCTCATATTTTTTATAGTATTGATTTTAAAAACTTTGGGGTGTAATTTATCAGTTTGTAAAAACGACACTGTATTAATACAGATTACGGTTTTACTATGAAGATATTGTTATTTCTTTTCAGTTCTATAGTATAATATACTAAAAACCACTGAAAGGTAAAATGAATCGAGTAATAAGATAATTTATATTCTGAAGTCGGTGGTAATACATAGTGTACCTACGGAATAATTGAAGCCCCGACTTAAGAATATGAAATTATTTTATTTTTTTAAGATTATTGAAGTCGGCTTTTACTTTTTGTTGAAAGTTAATTTTTATCCTTTTGAGTGGACTAAAGAATATTCAGTATCGTCTACTGAGTTACTCTAAAAACTTCATCTCCTATTTACCTACCTTTGGGGGTGAATTTTTCTTCCGAATTTATATGGAACCCCTGAACAAAATATATAACCTAAGAAGATATTGCGTAACATACCTCACCACCTCATTTTTTTGAAGTCGACTAATAAGAGTATTTTTTCAGATACCCATGGCTGGGAGACTCTGGTGGTACTGGCATACCGGGCAAGGATAATTACATACCCGACAACCTGAAGAGAAAGTAGAATTATGTAATAAAATTATAAGGTCTAGTTTAATCTATTCAGAACACTGTTAATTGAACTAAATTTTTGCGATAAAAAATTATTTGTGTTATAATTTTTTCTTAATATAAAAGCAAAATTTTATTTATATTAAGTGTGTATATAAGTGTAAAATTTCACCATTGTAGAATTTATCTATGGTTTTGCAATCTTACATACCTTTATGGGTAGATTATACATATTTTGTATATAAAAATTGTCTATAAATATCTTTACGGTATTCATTAAATAATTGAAAATTCATTTCCAAAATATAAATAATAATAAAGACGGTATATAAACGTTCTCGAGGGAGAGGAGCACTTGCTGCATGGATTCGCTGTAGCGAATCCTAGACCCAAACCCGTTGTATAGGATAAACAGATATTAAATTAAAAAAAAAACAATAATAAAATATACAACAGATCTTGCTGGAGTTCGTTTATTCATCTCCATTTATTCAGCTTCGGGTCACCGCATACCATCAGTTGGAATAGTAGTCAAACACTTGCTTAGAAAGGTTAAAAAATGAAAGACATTAAAGCGGTACCTATTTTTAAATAGTATTTTTAAAGCTATGTAACCGAGCAGAATTAATAATGCTGTAGACACTACTTTGTAGATTAACATAAATAAGGTGCTATAAATTATATGATTAACGATTTCAGAATCCGAAGAAAAATGGTTCAGATAATGAAGCACAATTATCTAAATCGTACGTTAAATAAACGTACTCTAAAGTCACAAACAATAATGATATTTTAATTAACACCAATTCTGAAATCTTTATGTTTGCTAAAAACAATATACGCCACATACCTTGAAATTTGAAAGCTAACTACAATTTCATACTTCATATGCATCGAATCGTATTTTTTTAGTAGCTGTTCAAAATCTGTTTTGTTTAAGATTTAGTTTAACATTTCTGGTCATCGTATTGCTCATTATTTACTACAACTTACAATAGGAATATATTTTATTTAATATATTTTTTGTAACCGTAACATATTTTTTACCTTTGTTAATTGTTTATTTGTTTTATATTGAAATGAAATTGGTTGGCTGAATAAAAGGATGAATTTTGCGTTTAAATTGTTTTAATTATTTTTACACTCTTCAAGGGTTTTATGTTGGTGTTGTAGAAAGAAATCAGGATAGTAAATTTAATAGCTGTTGGACTGGCGTCGTCAAAGCACTTGCTTTGAATGAACATGAAATGAAAATCAAATGAAATTAAAATTTCATTTGTCAAACATTAATGTTTTGAAACGACTACCATTTCAAAAGAGGTTCCTCTGTCCAGAAAAAAAACCTCATTTATGGTGAAAGGAATTTCTGAGGATTGTTCTTTTCCTCTTATATTCATATTTTTTAAAGAAAAGGAATAGACCCACTAGTAATCAAAGCATGTTCTAAAATAAAGTTACAAAACTAAAGCAAAACTAAACCTAAAAAAATTGTTGGACACCTGAGCAGACTGATCCACACAAGCAACATCTGTTGCACCTCATGGTTCTATTTTGCTTAGCGTTAGAAAAAGCTGGATACGTAACAAATAGCAGGGGTACAGATTTTGGCTTCGAATCTTAGCAAATAAGCATCCAAAGATAATACGTGCTTAGATAAAGGTTTTTTCTTTAAGCTACAACAAATTCTTACAAATTAAGCAGTTTGAGCTAGTCAAGTGCTTATATCTATTCCTGTATTTGCTTTATAATATTTACAAAATTATATGCATATTTTGCGTAGTGTTTCAAAACATTTGTTTGTTGAATTGAAAGGTCCCCCTCGTAAGAAGCTAGCTACGAGGATATTAATATCAGCCAACATTAGATTGCGACATCTTGTTTCTAAAGTAACATGTATAAGATAAAAATGGTGGAAAACAAGATAACGTGACCAAGACTTCACTGTACTCGTACATCGAAAGTCAAAAAAAAAATAATTTCATCATACATGACTTTTTTCTTCCTACATAGCCGGCAAACACCCATTAGAATGTCACGATTTATGAGATTTAAAAAATATATAACAAGAAATCGCAAAACACAATTACATAATTTGCAATATATTTTGGGCGATTCCCGTATTCCGTTAAAATGTTATCGTATTTGCCCTACTTTATCACAAAAGTTAATGACCGTAAATAAATTTAGATAACTTATTATAACGGGGATATGTAATAAGATTTTTACCATCATTTTCAATTTAATATAACTCAATAACGCCACGAACGGAAAATAGATTGAATTCGTTATTTAGTTGACATTAGAGAAAATTTTAAATGATTAACGTAAGAAAGGGTGGAAGATTTTAGAGGTTTCAATTGTAAATAGAATGAAAGAGCTAAGATTGCGAGGTGTACTTATTCGTTTTAAACAATGGAAAAAAAAATCCAATATTTTAATTTGTTAAACAAAAATTGAGTAATAAGTTGGTAGAAGAAACTAAACAATGGTATATTTAGTTTAATTTGATGAATATAAATATTTCATCACCATTGTCATCATTCTTAACATTGAAACCTATTACATCAAGTCCATTGCTAAACAAGGATTATATTCGAAAATAATTGTATATAGTAATAATCATTTCTAAGTAATTAAGCACTATTGAGGTCATTGAGCATAGTGCTTAGGCCCTCCAGCGATTCTGCCATAAGGACTATATCGTCGGCAAATCGAAGGTGAGTGATGTACTCGCCATTGATGTTGATACCGTATCCTTTCCAGTCCAGAAGCTTGAAAACGTCTTCTAATGCAGCGGTGAAGAGTTTCGGGGATATGACGTCACCCTGTCTTACATCTCTCTGCAATTGGATAGGTTTCGTACTCTGGTTCTGTACTCGGATAGCCATCGTAGCCCTACTGTACAAGCACTTCAACACTTCGATATACCGACAGTCAATTTGGCACCGCTGAAGGGACTGCAGCACCGCCCAAATTTCGACGGAATCAAAGGCTTTCTCATAGTCCACATACGCCAGACATAGTGGCAAATTGTACTCTTCGGACTTCTGTACAACTTGCCGAAGGGTATGTATGTGGTCTATGGTGCTAAAGCCCTTTCGGAAACCGGCTTGTTCGGGAGGCTGGAAGTCGTCAAGTCTGCGCGCGAGACGATTCGTAATGACTCTCGAAAACAGCACGTAGACGCGGCTCAGAAGGTAAATCGGTCTGTAGTTCTTCAAGAGAGCGTTGTCACCTTTCTTGAAAAACAAGACCACCGCACTTCTGCTCCACGCCTCCGGTGTAATGCCACCATGGAGGACGGAATTAAAGAGCTTCTGAAGGACTTCAAGTACCGGTCGTCCACCCGCTTTCAGAAGCTCCGCTGTAATTCCATCCTCGCCTGGGGCCTTACCTGGGGTTTTTAAGGTGCTGGAGAGCCATTCTAATCTCGCTCAGACTGACGTCCGGGATATCTTCGGAATAGTGTCGGAATCATGTTTAATGTCCATGTCACACCTATGCCGGTAGTTGTTGGGAGCACTAAGCTCGAAGTTGTTGACGAGTATATTTACCTGGGACAAATAGTCCGACTAGGTAATTCCAACTTCGACCGAGAGGTCAATCGACGGATTCAACTCGGCTGGGCAGCGTTCGGGAAGCTACGACACATCTTCTCGTCAGACATACCTCAAAACCTTAAAACGAAATTGTACAACCAGTGCGTGTTGCCAGTGATGACTTACGGAACTGAGACGTGGTCCTTCACTGCTGGCCGTATGAGGAAGCTCAAGGTCGCTCAGCGAGCTATGGAGAGGGCTATGCTTGGAGTTTCTCTGCATGATAAACTTAGGAATGAGGATATCCGCAGTAGAACCAGAATAACCGACATAGCCCAACGAATTAGTAAGCTGAAGTGGCAGTGGGCCGGCCATATAGCTCGAAGAACCGACAACCGATGGGGAAGAAAGGTTTTCGAGTGGCAGCCTCGTACCGGTAGGCGAAGTGTAGGGCGTCCCCCCACGAGATGGAGTGACGACCTGGTAAGACATGCAGTAAGTCGATGGATGCAGGTGGCTCAGGACCGTGCTTTGTGGCATTCTTTGGGGGAGGCCTATGTTCAGCAGTGGACTTGTGAAGGGCTGTAATGATAATGATAATGATAAAGTAATTAAGCAATGCTGTTTATTTCTAAATATAATAAAATAATGGTGAAATGGTTACCCTTGAAGATAGCCACGAGTTTTGATCCTATGCGCTATCGTCGTGCCACAAGCGAAACACATCGAAGCCTAAATCGCACTAACAAAGTCCCGAAGTTAAAGCAGCATATTATATAGAATAGCTCTGAACTACCAACCGGTGCGTTGGCCGCTCCCCGGGCAGCACACCTTGCCCGGCGGGAGATCTCTCCTTTTCCTTCCACCGGCTACAATCCTGTGTCTTTACGTTTATCATATTATGGTGTCAGTGTCACATACATTTCGTTTCAAGGAGTTACTTCGCTTGATATGCATATAGATATGAAATGAACATTAAATATTATCATGACCTTGCGTAATATTCCAATCAACCGTTTGAAGAGACTATTGAGGTCAGATATTTAATTTAGCTAATTTTAAACTTTTTATGTTCAAATGATAAGTGAATTCAGGGAAATATTTATTTCTGTTATTTAAATAACATGAAAATTCATATATAAGTAAGAACTTATATTGTGTAAGACATATAGTTTGCCAGAGAATGCAAGGAACCCTAACGTGTTATGCTTCATATCAAATTCTAAGACTTCGGAACGGAACAGGAATTTGATGCAGTTGCATTCTGCTTTCGTAGATCGAACAAATATGTGTGACAGTGTGTGACGTATAGGTAAGTTAACATGAATAGTTTCGGAAGCAGATTTAACAAATAATTTAATGCAAGTAACTTTAAGTAAGTTATTGCATTAAATTATTTGTAGGTGTCAATTACAAACTTTAGGCGTCAATAAAATAATTATGAAATTACTGCATATGATTTTTTCTCTTTCAT